CCAGCAGTTTACGATTAAAAAGTAGGCAATCAGCCGATTCCCGTTCTTGTCGGACAAACTTATACCAGTTCCCCGCGTTTGTCATGACACAAATGTATTTACCAGCATTTTTGGGGATTTTTTTATTCTGATTATGCATTCTGTTTTCTGGTTGCCAGGAAGATCAAGGCGACATTCTTATTTGCATTGTGAAGATGACGCCAGTTTTGCACAAAACCGTCTGAATTTCTCTCCTCCCACCGCCCACCTTTCCCTCCTCATTTATAAGGACACAGTTTGTGGGGCATCGATGTCGGTGATATGGCCAGTGATCGCTTCTTCTTCTGAGCGAACGCCTACCTTTGGTAGCAATGCGGTCAGTGCCATGGACTAGTTTTGACGCCCAGGTGACTGAATCAGAGGAGCAAGAGGAAGTTGGTGCTTTGGCGAGACAAAAAACATTGAGATCTTACGCATAGCAGTAGGAAAAATCTAGCCTAAAAACGTTCTAGCTGATGCAAAACACTTAGTTTTCTGAAGGTTCTGAAAACGGGCTCAATTTTACAAAATTCAGAATTCCGGGATTAGAATCATGATGTGCTCACCGGAAAAAAGTCTTTTTTGCTGAAGTTTTGGAGAGCTAGACCGACTGTCCTTTGTCAAAGCGTAAACTAACTTTATAGATCAGCAATTTAAATTTGTGGAAATGGAATATACAAAATAATTCCTCAACACCCATGTATGTGGGAACTCATATTAGATAGCATGTGTTTCTACCAAGTCGTCATCAGACAGATATTTAAATTGTGCTGGGAGTAGGGACTAGGGGGAATTAGCCATATCGGTGCTTCCTCGTGTTATGCATTCTGGCGTCAGCGTGTTGAGAACGATGGCTCTGGCGAGCAGGGAAGAGGTAGAGTGCGTCCTCACGATCAGCTCGCATGATTTCTGATGTCGTGAGCTCAGGCCGCATGGAATTCACTCGTTTCGTCGGCCAAGCTAGGCAAATTGCTGATACCAAGGTCTTTTGAGAGCACAGAGGTGGTTTTGCTAGACGAATAGCGACTGCCTAAGTTGTGGCTGGCACCCGTTACGCAAGCCTTTAGAGTAATGTGTTGGTGCCTGCTATATCACTTGAAAGGCCTCTCTTGCATCAACTTGTTGGTCCGTATCGATAAAGTGTGCGAGAATTGAGCTTGAGACCGACCGAGTTTCCCCTTCACCTAGCCAGGCTTTTCAGTGTTTGTGTACACTCTTCTCCAGACGTCTCGTTGCTCGGCGAATGTATATCGTGCTCCACAGGAGCAGATGAAAAAATAAAGGCACAGGAATTTGGCCTGTAACCGTCGTCTGTATTTGCCTTCCCCCCATCAGCAGAGGGGGAGAGTTTGTAAAGAATACCCGTAAATTGGCCGCCGGGAAAGCACTCATGACCAGTATCCTTAAACGTCATCTTACTAGTTTTCTTGCTGCGTCTCCCTAGAACGGAAATTTTATGAAAAATGTTTTTCTCTTCTGACTTTGCTAAGACAGGCTTTGTGACACGCTCCTTGCTGTTCTAAAGAATGAACATTTTTGCGTAGCCAGTTTCACGCAGTGTGTTCTGCAGCTGCTTTAAGTAGTAACTTTTAGCTCATCTACATTTCTTAAGGTGTTAACAGTCAATTCGCAGTGCGCACATGTTAACCGATTAGGAGGTGAAAGTGCTACCGCCAGATCGAATTTCTTTATGAAAAAGCTGTGAGCTCTTCGGCAAATAAGTGGCCTCCCAGCTTGCCCCATCCTGTTTCACTTTTCAAAGCGAATGTCTACCTTTGTTAGCAATCAGTCAATGTGATTGGTAAGTTCTGATGTCCAGGCGACTGAATCGGAGGAGCAAGAGGAAGGTGGTACTTTTGCAAGACTAAATCCATTGAGATCTTACGCGTAACTGCAGGAAAAACCTAGTTTCAAAACGTTCGAGCTGATGCAAAAATATTTCTCTGTCTAGTATATATTTGGAACTGAGCTACATTGTCGCTGTCCTACAGCATTTTGATAAAGTTTCAAATCTCAAATCTATCATGTGCGAAAGGCAGGATTGTAATCGTACGCCTTTAACACGTCTAGTTAGTACGAACCACGAAGCTGACCTTTAATCCTTTTACTGCGTCCATTTAACGGACATTTACGTCGTCCGCAAATCGTGTAGCGGGCACCAGCAATCTACGTCAGAGACTAACTTTAACGCATATTCGATACATCTGTTGTTGAATTGCCAAAAGGCGGCTATACAGGCTGTCTATCTTCCCTGGCCGTGAGCCACAGCACTCACCGCCCATTTTACATACATACAGCGCCCAAACACGCTTAATCCGTCCTGCAGGCAACCTGAAGACGCAGAGTGCCACTTTCGATTCCTCAGTGGTTAGAGCGTTGGTTCCCGGTAAAGGCCTTCTCTGCTACGTGGGCTCAAATCCCGCTGAACGCGTCGAATTTTTCACAATTGGGTGAACTCAAACATATATACGTTGTTTACAAGTTCACACAAGTTTTAGTGAATTGATAGGGAATATCCGGAAAGTGACAGTCACATAAGCTGTTATAAAAATATTTATTGAGCAATGGACATGACATGCCGATCAGCGAATCTCCATCTCAATAGGATAGTGGTCACTGACGGTTTTAGCCTGAAATGCAGAAAGGACATATTATAAACGTATGTCGCGTAAAACAACAATATAGATGATTTTAACTAGCAATGCAGGAACTGTATAGCCGGCAAAAATAACAAAGATTGTGTTTTTGGTTAAAAAAGCCGTCAAAGAGAGAACTTCTGCTTAAAAGGCTGGCTGTCTGGCTTGGAAGCCTTACTCAGAGGGCCATATATAAGCGTAAACTTACAAACTTTTGGTTGAGATTGAAAATTTTGTCAAATTTCATTGGTTTAGCTGAATTCGGTACAATTCGATCAAGCAGCGTTTTCCCTTGCACAATGAAGCTACAAACATTGGGACAACATTTTGTTAACAGAATCCAAGTCAATTTTGAATAGGAAATTTTTGGTTTAACTTCAACGTTGAAATTTCTTTTATAGGTATGTAGATATTTGACTATGCAGTGTACTTACCGATCATACGGACAGTCTTTTTTGGCGACGGTTGTATCCATGTCATCGGTTATCATCCACTTGAACGAGGTGTCTTTGAACAATTGCAACTGTTCCTTTTTCTTTTTTGGTAAATAGCTGCATCCAGCATTCATATCTCCGAGGACGATTATATTCTACACACAGATAAAATCACAAATCAATGTAACATGGCACTTATCGCCTGCACTCGAGTATGGCTAGGTGTTTCCAAAGTATAAAATTACATCCAAAAGTAAAGAGCATATTAGAGGAGTCATAATATCATCTTTTGATGATGAGACGGCCTGTGTTGAACCTATTTTTAGCTTAAGACATGCACTTTTTAATCAAATTTTGCTTTTGTACGAAGCATATTGATTGGCCTCTGAAAAATTCAAATAACACACTCGTTAATTCATACACCCCAAAACAAATTTTTGTTATGCTTTGCTTTTTTAGTCCAAGGAGCCCGTGTTGTGTTCTTAATAAGGTTGTTTCTTAATTGTGGGCTCATATCTCCTAAAATACTCTGTTTTTGGTATCTATAGCTTTGTGCAACGGAATAAACACTAAATTCGAGGATATATATCAGAGATAAATAAATATGCAGTTTCATAATTAGTATACCAACCTACCGCTGTATTGGAAGCTTGCGTGCACTGTGGGACAGTAGAGTAGAGCTTGTCCAGTTCAGCTGAGACGTCGTCCGGATCAATGTGAATAGCAAGCGCGGCAAATGATAGAGACGCTAAAATCAGATTTAAAACGTTTAGGAAAACTAATAACACTGACGTTTCATTTGGTATATTTAATCTAGAGATTACATACTTTTCCCGACAGTCTTGAGTGAATAGCAGTAGGGAGGCCGTTCGAAATCTTTTTTGGAAACCTTAACTTCAGATTCCTTTATTACTTTCACTTTCTTTGGGCTGCGGAAAAGGTGGTAATTGAAACAAATGTAAGAGAATTTAATATCCATTACGAATAGGCTACTATAAACCACTGCAAAATATTGCATTGATATGAGGAATTTTCAATAAAAGCTAAATTCTTACTTGAAGATGATTCCATATTGCTCTTTTGAACTTGACCTTCCGTAGCGTGGAGATGTTGTCCCAGCGTACACTACCTTCTGATTGGGTGATGTGTAGTTATTAACAAACATAAGCAGGCGCTTAAAAGCTTTAGAACTACCGTCGCGTATTTCCTGAATGAAAACTAGATCATAATTGCGTATAATCTGCACAGATATTCTTAGTTAAAAGAAAAGCAAACTTACCAATGAAAGCAGTTCCATTACATCACTTTTTTGTGACTTTGTTTTCCCAAAGACTTGAATATTAAAGGATGCCATTTTAATAGCACTGCAGGCTGATATGCAGAGGATCAATGCGATCAACTGAATTTTCTTTGGCATTTTGTTTCTTCAAAACAAATAGCTTTGTTTAAGAGTAGTTGACGAAATCGCCCACCATTCTCCCTATTGGGAAAGTGAGAGCGAGTATGTAATAAAATGTAAAACTAAGATAATTCCAATAAAACTTGAATTGGAATTTTTTGTTGGCGCATACCATAAAAAGGAAACTAACCTCAAATAACGGCTTAGTAATTCTTTTAAAAATTATAATTCATACCATTTTGTTGTCGCTTTTAAATAGCCACGCAAATAGGCTATCCTTAAGGTCATCTATATCAGTCGAGATAAAGATGCCTAATGTTAGCTTAGCTAATCATGTGCTGGTAGAAAATATAATTACTTTTTGAAAAGGCCAGCAAACTTAGTTGCTCAGCAGCAGCTGTGTTTATGGCATTATTTGCTGTATGTGAGTATACCATGAATTACGCATGATAAATGTATTTATATTTAGCCACATGAAACATGAAATAATTACATATGTAGATGAAATCATTGGAATGATTGGGAAGATGAGTGAAACTTGGGATAATAATAATGCACATGTTAATTAAGTGTTATGTCCTTTGTCCCTTTTCAGCAAGTTGACAACGTTTTCAACTCTTATTGTTTTCTAAAAAAGATAGTTATGTCGTGTTGAATCTTACCACACTTTCAGTCCAGGTACTAAGTTGAGGGCCCACAAACCTTTTAAGAAGA